AAAGAATGCGTCAGAAATCACGAAAAAATCACTGAGACCACTTGGAACTGGTGTGGCTCATAAACCAACAATTCTATTTTGACAATGTAGAAATTTTGGACAGACGGAACACAAAGAATATCAGAGAATCCTAGAAGCTTGACATTCAGGTCAGTCAACAATAAACAAATGTATAGACACAGACCCAATCTATCAACCAATAAGTAAAATGATAAGCGATAGAATGGTCAGAGGTCAAGCAGAAGGACAGACAACAGGAAATCTACACAATCAATGACACAACAGTCAAAGGAAACAACCAATCACAGACTACATAGTCACAGCAAGCCACTAAATCACTCACGGAGAAATATTGACAGCTCACTTTATACTGAAGTTAGTGCTGATGATGTCATTTAGCAAGACGATGAAAGCTTCACGACTAAACAACCTAGCTCAGAGAACACAATACAACCAAGAACAATCGACCCTTAATAGACAATTGGATATCACGAAGGCGCCACAGGTGGCGTAAGTTGACAAAAGCCAACCGAGCCTTTTATATTCGTACAGAGATTTTGTCGGCCACTGACCAATGCACCAAGGCTGATCCGACTTCCCAGGTGAGTGAAGTGCTCAACCACTTCACTCTCTATTGTTGACTGGGGTGTCGTTGAACACCAGTCCTGGAGCAACAATTTGCATTTGGGTGACGAGAAACGCATCCCAAACATTCTCAGATCACCACCACTAAACGTGTCCAAAAGAATGCATCTTGTCAGCGTCTTCACCTAACAGGACTATGTCATCTGAGTATTCTACGTCAACCAAAAATTCTCCCGTGATTAGGTCAACCTCTGTGTGGTCAGATGTCGAGAGGTAGACCTCCATAAGAATATCTATGATGAGAATGGAGAGGGTGGGCACCCTTGACGGACACCACTCGATGAGCACAGCTCCCTGGACATCTCACCATAGGCTGTAACACACCTACAAGTATTCCAGTAGACAGCCTTCAATAAGGTGATGTACTTACTCAGCACGCCTTACAGTGAGAGACTTTGCCATAAGATTTCTCGATCAACGGAGTCGAATGGCGCCGTCAGGTCGAGAAATACGGTTAATGTCGGGTGTCGGTAAGCGTGCCTATGTTTCAGAACCTGGCAGAGTGAGGATATTTGGTCGATACACCCACGGCCGTCGCTTCAGCTTTTGCTGCCCACTACTGTTCGCAGTCATTGCCGTAGACTTTTTGTCAGTCTACATAAAAGTCGTGTTCGCTCTTCATAGTACTCAGAGCTGCAGGAATGTGTTCACGTGATCTAGTAATTCAGAAGTGGTTGATATCCGCTACCTCTTTTTAACCACAGTTTGAAAGTTGGCTACAGTTTTCAACGCTGTTTTTACAGGAAACTGGAGATGGTACTAAGCTTCTTCTGGATGAGTGAGTGTTCTGTTTCGATAAGTGCCTACCCAGTTTCTCACTGAAAGCGCCCTTAGTGCCTTCATTGCTGAGCTGCACTCGTAATGGTCTTCTTGTTAAAGTTTTTCTACGTCCATCGAGATGCCGACATATACGTGCTCGAACCGACGCATGTTCGCTATCCAAATACGTGCTCCAGAAGGAGTGGCAGTCTTTTACCAACCCTCTTCAGCGATGACTGATAGGAACGTGGTCCATTTGTGTTCGTCGCTGAGTTGGGCTTGGTAGACGCCATGTCAGATGACGTATTTCTTTGTGTCTGAAGTTTGTGCTAGCTAGAAACAGATTATCCGAGCATATTTGTAGTAGGTGATCACCGTTCAGTCAAGAGATTCCGAAAGTTTCACCTAAGTGCTTAATACTATGCCTTCACCTGCAAGACCCCGAGAACTAGTCATCAAGTCCCTAGAAACTCGAAGGTTGGATTTTGCCCATTCACCGTATTGACCGAGTGAGGTTAAGTGAGTAACTGCACTTGGTTCTTGTATGCACGTCTCCAAACACAGTATACATCCGTGCCACGAATTACTAGTTTTTGCCAATTCCAAGGAGAGTTCGAACACTAAAGGCTCTTATGTGTAGTTTGTAGAGTGGTTTAAGGAGATCAAGGATGAAGCTCTGTGGGCTCAGATCGTCAAAAGGTCCAGAGATAGAAATTAAAGATGATGTAGGACTGTTAACTGAGATACATGAAAGAAGATTAGAGGAAAAAATATTAGAATGGTGGATAATTGTCTGAGGGGACCTAAGTAATGACAGATTTGTGAGGGCAATTAACACTTCCCGGCTGCACACATTGTGGAAGGCTAGGTCTTCTTGAAGTGTCAGAAAAAGAAGGATTAGTGAGTGACCGCATCGCCCAGAGGACATCTGCCTGGGGCCAGTCATGCACGGCCTCTCTGATGCCACGAAAATTGGTCTGTATTATGGAAGATGTAGTCGGACATACATCCTGTGGTTTTGGATCATCACTAACCACTGATCTCAACCATCATAATGCATCATTTCTTTGTTTAAGAACATGTTGAGGGTACGGTTCACTGTTTTTTGACGAACCACTATCCAGCAGAGCTTTCTGGTATGGTAGGACCTCGAGGAAACAAGCGTTCCACCAGCATAGCTCATTGGGTCATTGCGACATACAAGCTCGAACACCATGTCAAGGCAGTTGCTACTGGTCAAAGCAATATTCACCATTGACACCGGTTGGAAAAAAACATTGAAAATCTGGGAGCAGCGGAAGGCTATATTGTCCCAGCATGGAACTACTTAGCACTAAACACCCACGATTCTGCGAGTGATCGAACGCAGGATCAGTGCTACCAGACTTTGAACGGCTTTCTAAATGACAATTTGTAATGAATACTAAACTGAAGTCAAACAATTCCCACAAACCTGCAAAAATAAATGCCATCTACTGCTCATTAGCGAAATGCTTCAAGATAGATTTCCCAAAGTTGTAGTGAGAAGCCAATTAAGTTGAGTATGAGTAAAAATACTCGACTATGGCACTGGATAGTGGTCGCGCTATATCGTGAGTTGACAGAGGTAAGAAAATATGAGTCATTGGATCACAACCTAGTGGCTGAAATGCAATGCGTTCGCTGTGGAAACTGACAGGCCTGGATTCGATCACTCGCAGAATTGTGCGTACTTAATGCTAGGGTTCTCATACTGGGATAAAAAAGCTTTCCAGTGCTCCCAGGCTTTCAATCGTTCTCTAACTGATGACAGTATGTGATGAATACTATCATGTAAAATATTTGCCATTGATGTTGAGTTTTGACCGTTCTGATAACAGGTAAGCTCTCAATAATTTTGCTCTCCAAACCTAGGGATGACTTACTGTATGGCTGAAGTATGTCGGAGATTAGCTCCTTACATCCTATATTTTTTCCGGGGACTGTTGATTGGTCCCATTCTCTTGTGGGGTTGTATATTAGTGCATGTAAAGTAATGGATGTGTTTTCCTTTGTTATTTATCTGGTGGGATCCGTCAAGCCAAATTATGGCTATGATCTGCTAACCTGATTGACTCCGTCTGGCTAGTTTGACCTATGTACTTGACCTCACAGTCATTCCTTGTGATTTAGTAAAGTGAATTGTTTTATCTCAAAGAGTCAGCAGAACCTTTAAGGCGATAAAGTTTATCTTTGAGGGAACTTGTAGTCCAAAATGCCATTCTAATCCTAACCTTATCGGGAATTTTACTCAGAGTTTCTGAAGCGTCTGCTTTATATGGCAATATAACAGAGTAGTATTCATCACAAACTGACATTTGTCGGAGAACCATTGGAAATCTTAGAGCACTGAACAGTTGCTACCTTGTAGTACAGGAACCCTTAGCAGTGCGTACTTCTAACGCCACCAAGGACCGAATCCAGGACCGCCATATACCGTGGAGACCACATTCAGCCACCGGGTCAGCATTCAATGGTTCAGATTCTCCGATTTCTGTGAATTCGTGACATGACGCGTGTATAAAGAAACTATGAATGTTCTGATTTTAAAACAGTGCATGTCATATACAAACTTCCATCATATCTCAGGAGTAGGACTAAATGTTCCAAGAGTCATATGTTACCAACTTTCCATAAATATATCTGCTACTACAGAAGATATTAGTAATAAAACCACTCCTCATTTTTATCTTTGTTTTATCTCGGAAACCGTAGGGGTTATACATAACCAAGTCCCAAACATGTCTTTTTCAAAGGGTACCCCAGTTCTACGAGAAGGTTTAGAATCAGTGTTTACTTCATTTCTAACTGTTTCTGGAACCCTGTTGATTAGTACACAAGTACATAAAATTTTTACACCAAAACTAATTACATTTTCATCCTCTTCTATCTGAATATTATCTAACCTTTGCTTCGTTTCATGAGAATTGGTTAGTCTAGAGTTGATGTGATTTGTAATGGGACATTAACTAGAGACGCATAATCTGGATACTGAATGAACGATATAATACTCGACAACTCATTCGGCTAACACAAGCAAAAAGACAGTATCGAACTGAAGAGAATTTACTTTGATCGAAGAGTATGAATCTAAGGGCGTCACTCTTGCATTCATACACAATGTAGGAGTCCTTGGGGAAAAGACAAATTAGCATATTAAAAGTGGAAGAATAACCAATAGGAAAATAGCGTCTTTAAAAGCGGTGAAAACGAGTGACACACGTGAGGTGGAAAAAGGCGCAAAAAGATGGATTCAAATACCTTCATCAGCTAGATTTATGAAACTTGGGCATACACGTTCGTTTCTAGCAAATACAGCTACAAAAATCAAACAATAAAGCCGTGTGATCACCGTGATATGATTATTAGCACTAAGTTGCGCTCAAAACGTCATGCGGTAGATAAAACTGTGTTTCTCTATTATTCAAATAAACATACACTCTACTACAGTGCTCAAGTCCTACTCATACATAGAAAAATGATTTTCACATGAAGAATTCATAGTGAATACACTAATAAAACTCATAGTAGGTTAAAATGTGTATCGCTTAAAATCTGGTAAATATAAAATAACTTACATGATTGACTCTCCACCATCACTGTTAAGTGGTTGAGCTTCTGCATTAGCAGACGATGGGATAGCAGACCTATCAGATGAAAATTGACCCAGGTTTCCAGAATTACCTATGGGGAGCTGTTGAGATGACTCTAACTGATTATTACACGGAGTAATGGAGCATGATTTCAAAGAATTTCGTGAGTGTTCTACAAGATCAGATGCATCAAACATAACTCCTAAATCCTTATCTGAAGGATTACTGCCGCTAGTATGAAGACTGAGAAATTGGCAACCACTGGTGTCTTTAAATGAGTTTTCATTGCTGTGTGGAGATTGGTCCGTATACGCTTTGGGTACTTTCAAAAACTCATCTACAGCAGAAGAGTCAGTAGTATTACTACCTCCATTGACCACTCCGTCGATGCTGAAACTGGCAATTTCCGGAATGATATCAGGACCAAGATCCTGAAGGAATCCTGACAAGTCCTGTGAGCCTATATTATAAGTAGAATCATTAACTTGATAGGAAAGAGATTCTGGCTGAACAGAGTTGTTAACGGTTTCGTCCAAAGGCCAGTTAGTGTTTGGGCATTCGGAGTCCGGAGTAGAAATGGAGAAAGTATGGTTATCATTTGGAAGTTGTAAGTTGTCACTCTTGGACACACTGATTTCACTATTAACTTCAGGAAGATTTCCAAATGCTATACCACGCAACTCCATATAAAGACCTATAAAGGAAAATTAAATTAAGGTGAAAAAAACTTAAGGCAATAAGATCTGCACGTTGCTATAATTTTCAATAAAAAATATAGCGTGAGATCCGTAAGCAGAGAATTCCAAAACAGTAAAGCATTTGTCATTTTCACGAGAAAAGAATTTGATTGGAAACCAATATTATGGTACAGATGTCTTCGTAGCATTGCTCGCGTGCATTTGGTGGAATCACCAAGTGAAAATTTTGAGGTCATGTGAAAGATACTAAGCAAGACAGGCAAGTTGATTGATGATCTTGTCAACATTCACCAACTGAGTTGGCTTGGACATGTACTGCGCATGTCGCGCCGTCACCTACCTCAACGTGTCATGCTAGAGGAAGCTGGATCACGTTGGAAGATGGTTCAGGGTGGACAAACCAAGAACTGGCATCAGTCAGTAAAGTCTCTGACTCCTGGTCTGTGTCATGTGGGAAGATTTAGACTGTCTGTTTGGGGTTCTCGAGAACAAAGGAATCAGTGGGTGGGGAGTCCTGGAGACATGGGTGTAAATCCGTCGCAATGGCGCAGATGCATTCACTCCTCGACATCTCGAGCTTCGATATTTGCAGTAAGCGTGATCTTCAAAATGTTTAGTCTCTCAGACAACTTTGTCTACATTGATTTCACTCTTTTCTTATCCACCTGTTCTTGTGAACTACTGTGAAGTGTGGGATCTTAAGCCAGTCCACTTGTGTGGGAGGTTCTAAGTTGATTTTGTCACTCAGTGTATTACAGCCTTTGAAGCATGTATGTGAGTGAAAATACTGCGATAAACGAGGAGCTGAAATGTTTATTTTCAGACAGATTACGCTTCTAATGCTCAAGTAAAAATACTCTATTCGATCTTGTTACGGATGCCTATATCCCTTATATTCCATACTTATAGTTTGAGGATGTTTCAACTGTTTTACTTTGCGCTCGTTTTCCCGCACATGGGCCATATTTCGTATGACTCGCTAGCGTTTTGATTGGCTTCTGCCTCTTTAAATGTACTAACTATTCCTTGCCTTTCAATGTTACTGTAAATTCTATAAATAGAGTCCGTCTTCACTAATAAACGTTTTCAGTCCAAGATACTATAAACTCATTTGATTTCCCGTCTTTTCGTTTCTCTTTGCGAATCACTCGGGTTGAATCGTCTCAACCCTCAACTATCAATCGTTAGGTATTTTCATTCGTTCTTAGAACTACGTATCATAACAGATCTGACAACCCAAGGACTACACAAGCATTCATTTATTTACATACCAACGCTAAATCACTATCATTTTACATTCAGCACCAACGTAAAATCAGCACAGACAAAGTAATCCTGATAGCAATCTGCCAAGTGGCAAGAAGAGTTGTTTTCAAATTTAAAAAACTTCCCTTTTGACATCTCCAAGAAACTGGTGTTAAAAAATAAAGATAAGTAACATCAATTTAAACAGCGTAATGAGAAGACGAAGATTATCTGAAACATGTGATGTATTAGCGCTATACATTTCGAACAATCTGATCATCAATTCCAAACCAATTTTGTTTTTATGATTGATGATTAGAGATAAACCAGGGGAAAATATAAACCCTTACAGTGAAGAAAACAACTCACGATTAACTTGGTCTTCAGTGGTACGCATGTCACAAGGCGCATGCTTGATATTTTCCATTAGTTGAGAAGTTTTGAACTCATTTATTTGGACGGTTCTTGGTACGGACTTTTATATACACTAACTCGTTCTTGCTTTATTTGGTCAAGAGATGATAAATTTGATTTGTTCAATATGTGCCATCCTGATGCAATCAGTAAACGCAACTCTGATGTTTTATTCAAAATAGATGATACCTCAGTCAATAACCTCGTTTCGTAAATTCAGAACCATAATGTGATCGTAGCAAACCAGTTCGCCACTCATTCTTACGTGAGCGTCTAGCTGAACGCAAAACCATCCGACAAGCATCACAAACAAAAGATGAATGAGGTTTTTCAACCGTCGATACATCTATTTCCAAAGGTGATTTACTGCAGAATGGTAATCCATAACACGAACGATGCAACCAACAAAAACAATGTGAACACTGAATAAGATCAGACTCCTTTCAGTGACATAAGCACGTGAATTGCATCGGTAGCACGAAAGCAGTCGAGTGAACTTGGTAACACTTGATGCATCAGAACAAGATTCACTAAAAATAAAAACAAACATATGAACCAATGTCTTATGGCTCAAAAAAGGTACTATCAGTAAGAAGATCATCACAACTATACAAAAGAAAACTGAATTCAGCGAAACTCAGCATAACCCCAGCAGTCGTTATAGCTACAACGCCCATTTGAAATATCTAACAAGGTGTAAGAAGCTCTAGAAAAATGAATGTTGGCTATTAGCTACGGAGTGAAGTCAAAAAGCTTAAAAGAAACAGTGTAAAATATGAGAACGAAGTATAAAGTCGATGAGTTTCATGAAGATCAATAGAAAAGGAAATACCTTAGCTTTCCTTTTGAGATTTGCCTGAAGAAAGGTGAGAAATTTGGATGGGATTTCCACGACAAACATCGATTTTGATATACCCCATTTCCCCTAAATGATGCAGATTTCGTAGAATTAGACACACTTTTGTGATAGTTGACAATATGAGCATCAAGTAACTTTGAATTTCGTAGCTGGCGTGAACAATAAGGACATGGGTACACGACAGGGGCTGCAGATTTAGGAGGAATCTTGGATGTGATTTCTGGCGAGGTATTAACATGAGGCACTTTAATCTCTACTTCCTTTTTCTGTGCAAGATGTCGGCGAGTTCGTTGTATGTTTTTAACATCACACTTGGTTGATGATTTTAACGAATTCGATGAGTCAACCGAAGTACGACATGCTTTCTCTGCTGATTTGGTTTCATCCTAAAAAAAGAGCAAAAATCTTGGGTGTAGAGTATAATCGGTGCAAGTATAAGCAAAATAAGGAAAAGATTTGATAAGATGGCTAAATCGTGGTAAAATATAATTATTTCTTCACATCTAATGGAATAGACTTTCCAAATAATTAGGATACCACAAAACTTGGTAAAGATAACTGGCTCAAAATACCGCGCTGTTATTTTCAGTTTACTTTAAAACAAAATATTGTAACATTATTGGCACGAAAAGTTGAGTGTATAACATGCAAAAGTTAAAGAAAATCTGCGGTCGTGGCGATCAGACAGAGAAAAAGTGGAGTAGGACAAATGTTTACGCTTCTGATGACTTTACTTTTCCTCATAAGCTATAACATGTTTCCTATCCTATCTATTTTTCCCAAATCATGTGGTCCTTACCACTGCTAGGGGATGAAAAATGCACAAGATGACCAATCAATTTAGTTATTCTTAACTCACCACAAAAAGATTCAAATTAATCACTTCTGACACATTCGGAAAAAGACCGAGATACTTATGAATAATATATTCAGGCAACTTTATAAAATATCGCGAAATGAATATGAGAAGTACATAATACTGATAGAAAGGCAACCAAGTGGAAAAATATGTCATTCACTATCAGAGACACAGGTAGACAAAATCAACACAGAATCTTCAACAGAAGTGAATCGAAACAAGTTGCCACACCTCACAGTAGCATGCAAAGAAAAAGCGATTAAAAAACGATTGGCACTGGAGCCGACAAAAATGCGTGGAATGATGAGTTTTAAAAGTGGTTAGTGAAAATGCTTAAACATTCGAAGACTTTGAAAACAGAATAGATATACGCCGATCCGACAAATTTCGAGTCACATTACTCAGTTTAAACCACGAAGAAAACTGTGATCACAAAGCTGGAATTTCGGAATAAGTTTTGCCTTTAAAGGTTGTGTCTAACTGCCACACAATAGTACAGATAGGAGTAATTCCCAGCACAGTCGACCTTGAAATGCAGTCGGATACTCAACAAGAACCGGACAGGACAAAGTCATCTGCTCAATCCAAGTTAACTAGGTGCCCGTTCCGTCGTAAGTCAATCTGTGTAAAATCGGAGGTACCTCATGTTATGTACATCAGCACGTCTATAACGAAGTTAAACAGGAGTGGTGATGATAGCGGACAACCCTATCGAGTATTGCTGATTTTCGTCAATTCAGATCACATCTTTCAATAAGCCTTTACATGGCTGTGTGACTCAGGAGTGAGTTCTGATTAGAATAATATGCTCGCTTAGTACTCCCTCCCTCCACAATAAGATACTGTCATAACGGCTCTCGATCGACAGAACTGAATGCTACCTCTAGATGAAATACAGGAAATATCGGGCACCGGTAAGTATACGTGTTGCAAAACCTGTGCAGGGGTGAAGATTTGTTCGACACACCTCACCCAGCTCTGAAACCAATCTAGTTTTCCCCACCATGTTCTTTTCCAGCTCCCCTTAGCTATCGCATAACTATGAATCCTAGTGTCTGGGACACTCTGTCAGTCAAACTAAACCTCCCATGGTTGTCACAAGACTTCTCTCCCTTCTTGTACACGGGAATAATTAACGATCTAGACTAGTAGGACAGTAGTATATCTGATCCCCACAAACAAACAAGTACCTCCGTTACTCTCGCCATTAATTTTACACCTCTACTATTAAAAGCATCTTGCAATAAAACCATCATCTTTGTACTGTTTCATTTTCTAAACATCCGTCTCAACTTTGAGGAGAGTTGAGAGATCAGCGCCAATATTCCACTCAGGTTTGGGCTGAACACTTAATAACTGTAGCGTGTTTGTGGGTCGGTTGAAATGTTTTCAAAGCATTTCTCTTGACAGTTTAGCCACTTGCTTTGAAAGGTTATCACGAATGCATTACTTTCGACGATGGTCACACTTTTCATTGCTTTATTGTCAGTATTCTTGAAGGGTCGAATTAACTGTCAAGTACTGACTAATACTGATGCCTACCTCATCTTTCACCTTCACCATACACCAACGCTCATAATCATTGCTCTGGCTCTTAACCAACTTATGCCTGAGCTGCTTTTGCTTCTCATTGGGATGAGAGCCAGTTGAAATGATTCCTCTCGTATCAACCAGCTCGGATGAGGTTGAGGTAACCTGCTGGCTTTTGGTTACTCTTAGTTGTAGGCTGCTAACTATGTTTACCATTGCTTCTACGGCAGACTAAACATTATACCAAAACTTCGCCCCTAATGAGGGTTGATGCTATGTTTAGATAAATGATTAGCTATCTCCTTCCTAAATACACACTTATCAATCTCATCTTCCAGTTAAGCACAAAGATCTAGTAGAGTTGTGGCTCATGTTTTTAGGGTGATGACCACCAACCACTGGATCATGGGTTCCAGTCTCACCCCAACTGCCGACGTTTGGGCAGCCAGGTAGTATTAGAGCCCTCAGAAAATGGGTATGGCCCAATGCACGGATGTGCACAAGGTGGCCGAGCGCGTTATTTATACATTATTTTGCAAAGATCTAAGAGCTGTTTGTTCTTGTACCTTCTAAAGTGCGGACGTACGTGCCCGTTTTGAAGTTTGATAATATTCCAGACAGATGCTCCAAAAAACAGCGGCGAATCTCCAACGATGGCTTATGGTAATATGATACATCAATGTACACTGATGGCCCAGTATCGGTGAGCAATAAAAAAAGACAAGTCTCCTCTTAAGTTGGAAGTTAGCGCTGGTTTGAAACAAGGGATTGTTCCAGTGAAATTGGAAGTGACGATCGCCACTATTGTTTGATTTGGATTCGCTATCGTAAATACCTTCGTCCGTAAGTTTGGTAAGTGATTTGAACTATAGAAGTGCAAAGTACCTTTGCAAGGTTTGCAGAAGCCCGTATCTGCGCTGACACGGTGGCGAGTCGTTGGAAGTAGTCGAAAAGTCGTGTATCTGGGTAGATGTGTGAGTGCTGGTGGAGGTGATGAAATTTCCGACCGCATATCGAAAGCCAGAGTAGCATATGCCAATATGAGCCATTATTGGCGCCATCGCGATGCTAATCTGACCGCAAAAGTCGGATTTACAACGCTCGGTGCGAGCAGTTCTGTCCTACGCCGTGAAGCCTGGCCTCTCCGAGCTGAGGATGTGGGACGACTCTATGTGATCGATCATCGTTGTCTCTGTATGGTTTCTGGTATCCGGTGGCAACACCGTGTAAGTAATTCTGAGGTAGGATAGCGTGTTTGGGTATGATGGAGATGGTCATCCAACAAATGAGGTCATCTGTAAGCACCGGCTTCGGTGGCTTGGACATGTGTCACGCATGTCGTCCCAACGGCTTCCATACTGTTTATTATCTCCCAACGCTGGAACTGGATGGAGGATAGTTGCATCGGGTTAGTATCTGTTGGTGTATCACGACCCCGTAGGTGGATCCAAGAGATCACGCAACTCGTTGGCTTGAGACGTTATCAGATATGACTCAGAACCGAAACCAGTGGAGGCCATGCTGTATCTTCTGCTGCTGAAAAGTAATGAATGTTTTGTTTTGAATGTATCTTACCGGACTGCCCTTCTAATCATACTATTCTTACTGTTTTTCTTCTTACTTATCCACTTCCCATAGTTTATGTCTTCATAATGTTGTTAAACTATTTTGTGTGGCGCATTTCTTGGTACCCTTGCTGTACCATGTTTGTGTTCTAATAATAATAGAATAGATACCTCCAACATTCTATTTCATTCCAACTGCCTCAGCTTTCCTGTTTGAGTGTTGAAGTGATCTTCTATTATGAATATATCTGAACATTTTGCTGTATCTAGCTAAATTGACAGCTTTTGACAGTATTTATCTTTCGTATCAGCCGAAATGCAGTCGGTGAGAGCGTAGGTGAAGAGTGAATAGGCATTGACAAGTGTCACGGTATTTTCCTGCTTTTACGGATACATTCAGTCGGACAGCCCATAGACGACTGTCGAATGGTATACAGTCGAAGAGTGTTCTTTCTCTCTGCTCCACAACGTAATGCTGTGTCAAAACCAGTGATTTCACGGGGAATAGCCACTGAATATCTGAACTCTCGTCAGGTGAATTTAGCAGACCCACCACGTCTAGTAAGGTCAAAAGAATAACCATGCTTGGGTCTTGTACACAGGTTAAGAAACGCGGCACAGCCATAGCTCAAGATTTCAGAGTTTTGGCAAGTGATGTCTGTTTTCTTACTTGACATAGAGTTTGAACGTTGATAATTCTAATGTAAAATTGGTAACGTGGTTTTAGTATACTAGGGAGGGTGATTTTTACTGGCTTGTATAGTTAGCAATGATTGCAAAGTGAGGGGAGGGGTTGATGAAGTTGTAAGGGGGTCAGTATTGATCTCGGGAAGTGACAATGAAAAGGAAGCTAGTTTATGTTTGATTGGTCATTGGATGCTAGTGACAGGGTGTTTGAAGTTCGTACTTCTTGACTGCCTACATTATGGAAGTTAGTTTTTCAAGGTACATGAAAGAGGAGAGGAATTACTTTTGTGACTACAGGGTTCATGTGACATCTGTTTGAGGCTTGTCACACTACATATTTCGGACTTTTGTTTTGAGATATAGGATTGTGCTACTAGTCAACGGGAAGCTTCATACTACCTGTACTGTAAGACTATGAGGTGTGGGGGGGGGCAGGCTTTACTTTTCCTTTCCCCATTTAACTTACTGGAGAGTCAAATCAGTTCAAAATGGGTGGTTGCTGACGAAATCTCAGTTCGGATACAGAAGACACCTTTGGCATTCGACCAATTGCGTCACCTATGGCGTCAGCGAGAAACCCAGCTGTCTACCAAAGAAAGAGTACAGAGCACTACAGTCCGTCGTCTCGTTGTACAGCTGAGATGTGGCGGTAAAAATTAGGTCTGATGTGGTCACAAGTTTCCAATCATAGGTGTCATAGTCTTATTGCTTGCGTTTGGTAAAATTCTCTTGTGAGCAATATTGAGGTCATGTGAAAGATACTAAGCAAGACAGGCAAGTTGATTGATGATCTTGTCAACATTCACCAACTGAGTTGGCTTGGACATGTACTGCGCATGTCGCGCCGTCACCTACCTCAACGTGTCATGCTAGAGGAAGCTGGATCACGTTGGAAGATGGTTCAGGGTGGACAAACCAAGAACTGGCATCAGTCAGTAAAGTCTCTGACTCCTGGTCTGTGTCATGTGGGAAGATTTAGACTGTCTGTTTGGGGTTCTCGAGAACAAAGGAATCAGTGGGTGGGGAGTCCTGGAGACATGGGTGTAAATCCGTCGCAATGGCGCAGATGCATTCACTCCTCGACATCTCGAGCTTCGATATTTGCAGTAAGCGTGATCTTCAAAATGTTTAGTCTCTCAGACAACTTTGTCTACATTGATTTCACTCTTTTCCTATTCACTTGGTTCTTTGTATACTGCTATGTGCGGCAAATTAAAATGACGTACTTGTGTGCGAGGTTTTACGGTGATTTCGCTTGTTTGTCTTCCCGAGGAGAAAGTGGTATGGTACCATTGGTCATTCGTCGACGACACATTTTGTTGTTGTACTCTGCTTTTAGTTCGACCTTTTCTTCCGACCTTCGCCATAGGTGAGAAATTAACACTGTAGCGGTAGGCGAGGTTTTTGCTTTTATACACAGACATTGCCGTCATGGCATCCTCTCATGGAACAATCGTTCCAGCCAACGTAGGTCGTTGGGCCATTGTGGTGTGTAAACCTGACTGTCACGTCACGGTAGCATCCATGTAGATTTCGAGAGCTTTCAACTGGATTGAATAAACTCAAACTTTGTACACTCAGAATTCTGCAGTTACGAAAATCTCAAGGCACTGAAACATGAGATTCAGGTTGTCACGTAATTTCGATACACTGAAATTAGTTTTGTTCGTAACGTTTCTCATAAACCCAACCAGTCACATAGATGACCTTCTTACCTATTTTGAATGCTATAGCGATGAAAACTGATGGAGACTGCCACCAGCCTTGTAAAAATTCTGTAAGTTTGGTGACGGTGAATACCACACTTAACTGTCATATGAAGAAGTGAAATAAAACCTTCATCACACAACAGTTAATTTGCATGCCTTAGGTTGAAAATCTTTCTTTAAGTAACAAAGCTATACTGAAATCATACGCCCTGATGGCTACATAAAGAATGTTGTCAATATTAAGGTTGGAATCAGAGAAATCAGATCGCTAATATAAGAGTTAAACTTGAGCACTATGGAAGAATGTAATTCCATTTTAGTTTGTTTATTAGATTTATCATACAGTGGAACAGGATTTACTGCATTACGTTTCGGATATAATTTATTGTCCATAGTCATATCAAAATGATATAGATAGTGGATTTTCTGTGTCGTTTAACAGCATTGAATTCAGTTTCCTGATGAACAAAACCACCCGGTAAAATAAAACAAACGCATTAACCAATATTATACGTTCTGAAGAGGTCATTACAAACTAAGTCTAAGATTAAAAAGTAATACTTACCACCTCATCACTTTTTTGATATGGTGGAATCGATGATGACAATGATGAAACATTGATGGTTGATTTAGATACACAATCTTCGGCTTTTAGTGAACCGCTTGCAGAAACTTCTGGGGGCACAGGATTGAGAGTGACCTGATGATCTGTTTGGTCCATAGACACAGACCTATCAAAAGAATGTGGAAATGCTCCTTTCTCTTCGATATCTTTTCTCTTTAATTCTCGACGCTTTCGACAAGCCTCATGGAATTGGAAAACACTTTTCTCATAAACCATACCATCTTGTTCAACAATCCCATCATATAATGTTGGATGAGGACTTTTCTTGTCATCTACAATGCACGAACTGCTCGTACTTGCACGTGTAGAACGTGAACGATACCTCGGAAGCTCAGGATCTGAACTGCGATCAGATTTACTTTCGGAAAGTGTTGTTCTTATTCTTTTAGTCCGTGGTATTCCTATCTCAGAATCACCACTGCTACATGACTGTTGTGAATCAGGTTGGTTGGGTAGCCTGTTTGTGGACGTGTTGTGTTCCTTACAGAATTTCAACACATAATCAACTTCATACTGGGTTGCTTTGCGCAATCTGTTGATAGGCGTCCATTCTATGACACGATCCCAGATATAACGGAGACGATACTCTGCTTTTGTACCATGTCGTTGACGATGAGCTAAAACCTCAGCAAGATATTCAAAGTCGTTGCGCCAGGCAGCCATTACATAACTACCCACCTCAAAATGGATATCACAGACTTCTGAACCTTTGCTTCCTTTATCCATGGAACGATTGTAAGAATCAGATTTATCTTGCTTTGTGGTACCTTGCACAAAATTTCTTTTTAAAACACGTAGGAAGCTTGAATCTATTGGATACCAAGCATCGTATCGTGAACTCCAATTACAGAAATGAACATGAACCTGAAAACGAAAAATTGCGTATAATTGGCTATTTGTAATAAACGCATGCCAATTCCAAAGGATTATCTGTTCAAGAAAATCTGAAGCACTACAAACAGAAACATATAATCAGTGCTTGTTCATTTACAGCTTCATTGGTTTTTGTGGGATTATTTATTTACACGCTGTCCACTCTCTATCCTCTACATGAACATAACTGTTGACGGGTCGTCTAAAGCAGTAAATTGAGTTTCTTAAGTTTAGATTTTCAAAGTAATTAGTTGTAGGCGAAAATCCTACTTAATGACTACTGGTTTGTTGAATAGGATAAGCAGCTCCCATTGTATGATTGATGATATGTCCTATCCAGAAAAAAGATGGCGGTCAGTACTGATGGGACTCTAAATAATTTCAACTTAATACGGCGTAGGGATACGGAAGTGATCTCTTACTCAGTTGTCATTTCAAACGTTACTTCGTGTGGACAAATTCTTCGTTACTTCTGAAAAAAGCCCCAACTAAGTTAACTGTTCATTCTGTGATCCTGAGGTTGCGCAGGAGTAGCTATCAACATTTCGGAATTCATTTCATGAAATGCACAAGTTTCAGCAACTAAGTAACGTCATTTTTGTTTAAAATTAATCAACCCATCCTCTATTTTCCTAATCACCCGGGTAAGTGAAAACTGACTGCAAAAACATTCGGAGCAGGTTTTCAATGCAACAAATTTAAATCTACCAGCTGTTGATTTATTTGGCTTGGCGTCCACTTGTTAGACTTTAAATGTGCAACAAAACAAGAGTACTTAAAAGTCGTGTGTAAGAGTTTTCAAAGTGTGAGCATGACCGGATGCTTTTGTGGTTTCATCAGAAAGTTTACAGTAAAACTTACTACTCATACTGGAAATGATACGACATGAAAGAACTCTGCATTTGTAATTATAATAAGTAGATGAAAATGTGAGGCACTAAAAGATAAGCACGACTTCGAGACTAGTAGTGATATGGACAACTTCTCGGTATTTACAAATTTTTAATTATGGTAATATAGCTTTAAATACAACAAATTTTGGAAAAATTGCCATTCTGAAAACAACTAACGGAAATTCAATTGTGACATTAAAATTCACTTCACATTGCACAAACCTGCTTGTGGAAACAAAACAAATACAACAATCAGCGTAGAACCTCGAACAGAAGTGCATTAGTACAAGATGCTACACGTCACAGAAGCATCCACAGAATATACAGGTGTTTGAGATGACAAAGAACATGAAAAATGAAGGTTAGGGAAAATGTCTAATAATTTAATACATTGAAAAGAGAAACATACTTGATCCAATCTCATCAACTTTGAGTCATATCACTAAGGGTCACTGACTGTTGATTCCTTTAGGCTCGAAAATACCAACCACGCAGTCTTCACCCCATGCATGGCTCAGACCAACAGACAAAAACTTCACTGACTGATGCCACATCTTGGTTTGGCCACTTTTTCAAACCTACTCCTATTTCAACTTACATCGTACGTCGAGGTAGGTGATGGCTCAGCATGCGCAACACATATCGAAGCCACCTTAGTCGGTGAAGGTCCCACAACTTACTTCCTTTGTTTAGTACTGTACCTCTAACCTCAAGATTGCTGGTGGTGATTCCATGACATAGGAACAATGGCGAGAAGACACCTATGATCAAAAAACCCGTATTAATGCAACGGTGGTTCATTGGTTTAAGCACCAGACTTTCAAGTAATGGGTCTCGAGTCCAAACAACACCACCTAAATCAACTTGAGTAGGCCCTCACAGCATGCGGTTCATGAACTAATACATGAAACATATCGAATGGAGTTGCACTATACCTATTAATTTCAAGAAATGTAACCAGTTAGTATCTGCTACTTTCCGCGGTCAGGTTTCGCAACACAGAAAATGTTGCACATAATAGTCGCCTCTTAACACATTCGCATATCTTACCCGCAGTGATGTAAATTTGAAATGTAACCACCTAACACAAGCATTTTCCTAAAGCGAACAACCAGTGAAACATTCTGTGGGGTGAATCCATTTTACTGATGAAACATCGATAGGGGAGAGCGTTTCAAACTCGTAATTCACTGGTTGTAAGTCGAGCATCTAAACCAGTGAGTCACAGCTATACAGATTAAATAAGTTGGTAGCCACCGAACACGCATTTGTGTCCGACCTCAATTTTCGTCAGCAGCCAACCTGTTTGTGTCCCAGCAACTCAAGTAAATGAAGTAGTCAACACAACCCATCACTTCACGCCTCATCACTCAACTGGCAGTACCTGCAGGACAGTTTTCAAACACTACGTTACAGTCGACAGGTGCCAAATGCATGCTAGACACTCAGAATTCTCCTCAAGGAATTCATGTCTTCGTTTTGTTGGCGCCGTCGCCTTACAGAGCAAGGTCGTTTGCTCAATCCAAGTTAACTAGGTGCCCGTTCCGTCGTAAGTCAATCTGTGTAAAATCGGAGGTACCTCATGTTATGTACATCAGCACGTCTATAACGAAGTTAAACAGGAGTGGTGATGATAGCGGACAACCCTATCGAGTATTGCTGATTTTCGTCAATTCAGATCACATCTTTCAATAAGCCTTTACATGGCTGTGTGACTCAGGAGTGAGTTCTGATTAGAATAATATGCTCGCTTAGTACTCCCTCCCTCCACAATAAGATACTGTCATAACGGCTCTCGATCGACAGAACTGAATGCTACCTCTAGATGAAATACAGGAAATATCGGGCACCGGTAAGTATACGTGTTGCAAAACCTGTGCAGGGGTGAAGATTTGTTCGACACACCCTCACCCAGCTCTGAAACCAATCTAGTTTTCCCCACCATGTTCTTTTCCAGCTCCCCTTAGCTATCGCATAACTATGAATCCTAGTGTCTGGGACACTCTGTCAGTCAAACTAAACCTCCCATGGTTGTCACAAGACTTCTCTCCCTTCTTGTACACGGGAATAATTAACGATCTAGACTAGTAGGACAGTAGTATATCTGATCCCCACAAACAAACTAGTACCTCCGTTACTCTCATCAATAATTTTTTGAGGACCAAGCCTGCATAACATCACTTCACATAAGGAAGACAGTGTTATCATGGTCTTGGTGATTCATAGGGAACACCTAACTGCTACTATACTCCATCCAGCTAGGAGTGCCAGTTCGCTCTCCTGCTCTTTACCTTAGCGTAAGCTGTTTACACTATGACTAAGTGCTTTTCATTCCAACAGACCTTTCTGGCATGGTAGGATCTCAAGGAACATGCCTCCCAGACAGCATACATTTGTAAGTCATCAGGATATCCAAGCACGATCACCGCATCACTGTAGCAGCTATCAGTCGGGTATGAAACCTATTGCTGCTTATGTATGGAATGGAATAGGAGAGTATACAATCATTTGAAATGATTACTCCAATTATCCGGACTACGTTTATCGCTCTAACTACGAAAATATCCAAGTGTATGAGTTTAAAATCAGTAAAACGGCCTATCATTTTAACTGGATCAGGAAAAGAATAAAACCGGGATATTGAAACTATGTCTGCAGGCAGTGACGCTACAAACTTCAGAAAAATCTAAAAGAGCTCGTGGTGAGAAAGACTGGTTGGTAACTAGCCATGCATTTTAGTAATGCACCACGAGTTCACTCATCTGATAACTAACCCATGTTCATTTGGAAAGACACATATCTTGAACAATAATAGGTGAAACAGAGTACTGACTATAAAACAGTGATGAACTGCGAACAAAACTACTTTATAAGCAACCAGCGAATGCCTTAAACCTCATTACTTCGGAAGTAAAAATGGTATTCACTGACTAATTGCACAATACTTCTTCGGAACAGTTATTTTACTCTGCAAACTCACTTTGCTCTTTAAGAACTCCAATAAGGTCAACCGGTAAAAACGGCTAACCCATGCAAATCTGTGGACTTTCACAACGAAACTCTCTTCGGATGCTTCTTATTAATCCACTGAAATCTTTTTCCATCTACTCCTTTAAAGTAAATCTTTGAGTAACGATGAAGTAAAATGCGTGATGAACTGGGAGATAACAAAGCGCAACGACTTTACTACACTGCAAACTACTGGGAGTTGTCAGACTTTCGAACCATAATTTGAGTAACTATCTAATTATCTCAGGTTGTTAAGAAAAGTACAGTGTATGACTCTTATTAAACTGAAGTTCAAGCAATGACTCGTTTCCCAAGTATTTGCAGCACGCAATAATCTTTGACTCCATATTGGTGACTTTTTGTCAAATACTCTAAGGATCAGTAATACCCAAACGATAATATCTGCAGTTAGGTCACGTAAAATAAAGATGTGACTAATATTTAGTTCCAGTCAGCTCCCTCCTCACATAAACTCTAAATGATACGTAAAGTAAGAGGTTCTATGCTTCCTGAAATGCTACCAAAGCCTGAAAAAGCACTAAATGAAATGTGTTCTCACCAATATTTTATACCCTCCATTGAATACATTCTCAAAGGATAAGATTCATTCAGTATAATCGGAGAAGTATGAAACACCTTCAAGGGATAACAATTATTGGGGTCACGTATCGATGATACAAAACCTTTTCGTGGAGGATGAACTGTTACCAAAGACCCAGCCAAACTCGCCATAGAGTTACTCTAACTACATTATTGTTCTTACACATCTATTCCATATTTTTATTTTATCAGAGGTTGGATACTTTAGAATAAGACTCAGAATTAATCACAGCGAAGCGGATGCATCTGTAAATGATCGGTATCTTAATCATTTCATTTGCTCCACCCCTTCCCCCCTAATGACATCCTGTGACTTGGACATGCAACTTATGTCTTGTTGCCTAGTACTTCGATGTGTTGACGGGAAGTATGGCGATGTGAACCGTTACGCAGTAGTGCCAAGTACCAGGTTGACACTGACCGATCGAGTACACAGAATACCATCGAAGTGAAGTTAGGAACTTCTGGTACGCAATTTCGAATCAAGTGCAAGAAATTCGGTAAAATACCTAGGAGGAATAACATTGGTTAATGGTTATGGTACTAGATAAACAACAGCCTATAAAAGAAAGTTATTATTTGCAATAAATGGTGCTAAATTTGAAATCCTTGCTTGGGACATGTGCACTAACACAAGTGGGAAACATTAGACGACATTAGAATATGTATGTATTAAGTTTGACTAGCAGAACGTAGACATGGACCAAGGAACCATATTATATCCTCATGTGCCTCAACCACCTTCACAGGCTTTCAGATATCCAAATCAATTTGCCTACAAACCCAGAAGGAGTATCTTAGATGCTCCAGTTGTCTTAAATAATATCGTTGCAAATCTGGACAACGGTTCTCAGTATGTTAGACCTGCTTTCTTAGGTTATACTTTTGCCTTAGACTCTGTCCCTATACCACTCTTATTAAACAAGATTGCCAGAACTCACAATCAGCCCTGGATTGCAAAATGGCTTGATTCCAATTCTACTGAAAGAAGACAGTACACTCCGTACAGAAAGAAGTGCTCTATTTCGCTGCTCAGTGAACCAGATATGCCTCAAGGTGCTTTTCTCTCTCTTATTCTTTTCTCTTTCATTTTGAATCACTTAACAATCTCATCTGAAGCTGACCTTGTACATAGTTGACTTGACAGTATCCATGCCGATCATCCCTTTAAACTGTTCTCAGTTTAGTAACTTGTCAGCCGAAATTGCTCACTAGTCTTCTTTAAACAGCCTGGCACCCAATCCTTCCAAATGTCAGATGGGCAATTTTAGTATCAGAAGGCAAACGAGGAAAAAGCTTAGGAGGATAGGTTATGTTTGATTGGGTTTTGTGTACTACTGGAAGCGTGCAGGTAGTTTGGACTTCCCAGCTGCACATACCATGCGAAGCTATTTCTTCTTCAGGCACCTGAAAGAGGAAAAGATTGGTGTGACCGCGGACATCCGCTTGAGGCCTGGTTGTTCGAATCCCGGGCACACAAAACCCGTACCACCAGAGCCCTAAGGGCGTGTTATTTTTGGAGCCGATCTTCCCCAACCCCCACTGTCCCCTTCCCATGGGAAGGCATCATCAGCGTGACACTGCTGGTCATCCAAAGGAAACACATTGGTGCTATCACGCCCCATCCAGCCAGTAGAACGACTTCGCCCTCAGACCTCCATCATAGTGTACAAGTTTACACTAGTATGACAACTGCTTTTCGTCTAACCAGCATCCAATAGACATTTCTGGTATGGTAGGACCTCGATGGAACAAGTATTCCAGCTGGTGTAGCTTCTTGAGTCATTGTGATGTGCACACTCAACCACCAAGTCAAGGTAGCAGCTATTGACTTGTCCTCCAGGTACTGTAAGTTGAGGAATGAGGCGTGAAGTGATGGGTTGTGTTGTGTTGACTACTTCCCTTACTTGAGGAGTTGCAAGAACGTGGACGGGTTGGCTGCTGGCGAAACCTGAGGTCGGATACAAATGTGTGTTCGGCCGTTGCCAGCTATCTCATCTGTGTAGCTGACTGACTGGTTTAGACGCTCAACTTACAACCAGTGAGTTACGAGTTTGAAACCCTCGTCACCTGCAGATGTCTTATCAGTTGGGTGACATAATGGGCGATATGTCCGACTCCGTGTTGAAGGAACGGCATGTTGGAGTCCAGTTCCGATTATAGCTTATATGTGTCAGGTAGCTTATGCGTACTTTATATTTCCTATTCATGTACTGTTGGATATAACCGAAGCTGGTCCTCCTTAAATGGCCTCACACTCCAAATGTCAGATGGGCAATTTTAGCTTAGGACGTGAAATACATTTCTACGTCACTTCACTCCCTTGACTCTTGTCATTTAGATAGCTTTGTTGTAGAGAATTTATCAAGCGTGATCCATTCTGACCTCTACCTCTCTTTTGACCTTTCTTGGTTCCCTCATATCTTACTGACTTCCAGGAAAATCCCTCACTTGACCTTTCATATAAAATAACTCAGACTCTATTCTTAAGTCTCACTAATTCATGTCTTTTGTCTGTACTTACTTATTGTTCCCCCTTGTTCTTTCCTAGACCCCAGAAAATACACTACGTTGTGGATTTTGAAGGCTGTCAGTACAGCAAGTGGTAAACTACTAACCGCACTGACAGGCTTCTGAACTCCTGTAGACACCTGGCTAAAACGGTTTTATCTGACGACAAGCATCCTCTGCATCCGCACCTCACTTCTTCATGTCTGTCCTCTGGGAGGACGAGAATAAAATATATCAAACTTTATGCACGCACAACTACATACAAAAATTCAACCACACTTTACTTAGCCTGTGTATTGTGTGAAGATCATGTTAGACATAGTCTTATCAACCGCATTTGCAATAGTAAACAGTTACCACGTCCCTGAAGTCATTAAACACTTCAATGACCATACTGTTCTTCATTGTATATTGTTAAGCAGTACAATTTTAAATACATATATTTGAAAAATGCCGTACAACGGGTTAACTGATGCGAAACCGCATGTTGGGAATTCTGCACGGGTAAAGACAATTATGGTTAGGAATAAGCCAAATATGTTGTTATTATGAGGGGTGTAAAAGTAACTGCTAGTTTCAGCAACAACACATACGAATATATGCATGTAGAGCAAAAGTCCACATAGTTACGCAGTAGAAGGATACAGTTATTGGAATCAATTCTATTTAAGGTGTTGAGTATTAAAATTGTCCTGCACCAAATCCTTGGGCTAAGATGTAGATTCCTCAGTAAGCCTGAAATACATCGAACTAGGTACGCTAGAAATATTTCAAAATGTACATAAACCCTCGAAAACTGTGTTGACTGCCTACCTCATGTTTGCATGCACATTTCATAGGTAAGAAACTTTTCAAGTAGCCACTGAATATTGGCGGTCAACGTAATCAGCATATTAGTGAGGAATTATCGACAATGAAAAACACTTTAGATTCTGAGTTTCTATATAGCACAACTTTCCCTATTAGTATTCCAGACATCTCTGGTTAGAGGAAACGTGTGGATGGAGCTATGAACTGAACTGGATTGATAATATATCCAATCAAAGTTTAATCGTGTGATATGTATCAGGTTCAGGTAAGAATGCCCTATCAAACATTCCAATCATCATCTAATTCACTGAGTAGTTCCAGTTCCTTGGTATGATATTTCGATGAAATCACTTAAAATGCATTTTGATAGCACATTAGTCTCGAAATCTGAAAGGTATGTTCTGGCGTAGCCGCGCAGATTCAGGGGTCAACCTGGTCAAAACATGAAAATACAGGTAGAATATACTAGCAGTGGCTAAGGATTGAGTCTAGCATAAGTTCCGAATAGCAGCTGTGCCGAATTTCAACTTAATTTCCAATCACATTATACACCCTCAAAACTGCACTTAAAGGAAATTTATCACTGAAAAATTGATACGATGTAACTGACCTTGTCACCGTCAACATTAAGAACTTTAACAGGGTACCAATTTCCGTAGGAATCCTTAGCTTCGAGTAGAGAACCCTCTGTTATTTCGCTGCACAGACTTTTCAGTGAAACATTACTTTGGCCTTTGGGCATAATCGAGATGCATATATCAATAGATACATTAAAGTGATGGAAAACCAGAAGTATTTGTATTGATCGATTAGTGTATGGACTGTAAATGATCCCCAGGAAAGAAAAATACCTGTTTTTACATGTTAACCACCATATCTAAGTTATTGACTGCAGGAATGAGCCATGAATGTGAATTATTCGGTGTTACTTGTACACTTGGTACTAAAGATTTTGCTGCCTATTTGCTTTTAATATTCAGTGATGAGGATTAATTCCAATATAGAAGACTCGAATACAATTCGGCTGCAAAACTTTTTTTATTCTTTGAATATGTTAAACGGAAGTGATATAACGTGCTCATCCTAGCAATTCCAAATGGGCCTGCTGAATTTCGAAAGCGCGCTGAGAATTAAATTAACCTCGTTGAGTTTTCAGCATATGGTAGCGCAAGTTATTATTTCCAACTAGGAATAATAAGGAGGTTGTAACCTAATTTGAAACGAACTGCTTAGCTTCCATTAGGTGAAAATACGGGATTACATATTTCATAACATTGACGCATTCAGTACTGTGATCGAGCTTGTTTGACAGCACTGAATGGACAGTTTGAATCGAGAATCATTGAGGTAATAGTATTGTCTTTATGAGATGTGTTTATAGTGCTGTTGGTTTATACTTGACGTCATCTGATTATCTCTCAAATCACTTTTGCTGACCTTTAGTGGAAAGCTAGACGCGATTTAAGGTATTAGCAGGCATCTCACACTGGTGTCGATGGTCAAAAAGAAGCCCGGGGCAACAGTCAAGAGGCATAGCCTGGAGGACGGAACTTGATAATGCGAGGAATACCTTAAAACCAAAGTACCGAGGACATTCATCATGGTTCGCATGATTGGAAGTCCTCAAAAATTACTATAAACCTTAAGGGAGCCAGGTTCAGAAGATTGCAGAGAACAGAATGCAATGGAGATGTGCAACTGAAGCCTTACGTTCCACTAGGAACCCAAAGGACAGATAATAATGATGATTAAGGGAATAACGACACAGCTTCAAATGAGCGCCTAAATGGTTTCAGGCCCTCCAAATGTCAGCACCTACGTCGAAGGCATTGTAGCGTCATACACGTCATACACCTAAAAAGAAGTCTGTTGCCACTTAGGATCCATATGCAGCCTGCAAGTTCGCAGAAAGAGAGGGAGTGAAGAAAACAGAAGAGATTTAAGCTGGCCGTATTTTGGATGTTAAGCACTACACTGACAAACCTCGGGATCCCAGCCGTCATACCTTAGGATTTCGCCAGCCAACTGGACCATGGGGAGGGACCATGAAGTGAGCTCATGGGACATAAAATAAGTTTCATCTAATTGATCCACAAAGTTTGCTGAACATACTCGACGGACTGTAGGAACTAGATACGTACACGAATACTCATCTCGCAGGCGGTAGTGAGACATAGGTTCCCTGATGAAACGTCAGATCAGGAGCTAGCAGTTGCCAACTCCACGCTGTTTCGCAATGGCGGGAGGAACCGTAGAGAGGATGAAGAAGCTTTTTTTAGGACTTCTCTTGCAACTCGCGAAATGTATTCAACAGCTGCGCCGTCTTCAGACGTCCAACTGGTGCTCCATAAAGCTGTATAAATGTTTGAGATGAGTCGTTAATAGAAAGTCGTCAGCTGATGAACCGCATGATGGTCAAATGCTAGCGGTTGTCAGATGCTCTCCTCAACCGTGATACACATATACCAGTGCTAGCAGATTTTGACCTACCGGCGGTTAACTTGATGGATCACATGTTTAGCAGGAGTGACGATTCCACTGAAGCCCGATTCTTCGACTTGATTTGGGAACCGGAGTCCACGGTTACTATGAAACCAGTAGCACGATGAAGGGAGACTTAAACCTCATCTTGCTCGGACTCTATCCGTACAAATGAGAACCTCTTGATTGAGGACTTAGCGATCCTTCCTCCCTTGGAAAGGAGTGATCTTGATGGTGTCTTTGAAACCGAAATACGCTTGTCCTTCAACGAACGTCGTTAGAATTTCAGAGGGCTAAACACTCCAGCTCTACTAATGACACAGGAGCAGACAGATTGAGAGGCTGACCACATATGACAGGATGTGGACACACGAAATCGTGCCTGCCATCAGTCAGTCTGTTCCACAGTCTGCACCGAAGAACTCCATGCCACCCGTAACGGAATGTACGATTTGAAAATCCCTCTCGAATACCAACAGTATTGACAGCATTGATATTTATTTGAATATTTTCTCCCTCCCTGTCAATACTGTCCCTCGCCCCTGGCCTTCGTAATATCATTTTGTCAGATGACCGTCTTTTTTGACTTGACGCATCATTTTCCTTTGTTTTGATCGTGACCTTTCCCCACTGCTCGATTTACTATTGTGTGATGCTGGACGTTGTTTTACTGTTTCCGATATTTTTGTTTCGGCCCAACTTAGTGTTGCTCTGCGAACTGACTGCTTGTCTCTTGACTGTCTACTGGAAATCTTATTGGTTGGTTTGATTCTTGTAGACACAGGTTTAATCCCATTTTGTCGGAAATATTCCTATCGAGTCGCAGGCATTTAACAGTTGTACATGGCCAATCAGCCCTTTACTGTATAGTACGTATTCCCTGACAGAGAAATCTTCAAGCCGTTTAGTCGCCTAACGGCACTGTAACGGAAATTCAATCTGAAAATCCCTCCCGATCACCCCATTCGATTGTATCGACATTTATTTTAATATGTTCACCCTCGTTATGGGTGGTGTAACTTTGACCCTAGCCGGTGTAATGTTATTTGGTTGTTTGACTGTCTTCTTTGACCTTTTACTCAGTGTTTGCCTTTGTATGATTGAGGCTTATCATGAATGTTTCACTTTCCTATTATGTGACGCCGGACTGTTGACAAGGTGTTGTTTTACTGCGCCCGACATTTTGTTTTGGTCCAACTTACGGCTGTGCCGTGATTTGACTGTTTGTTTTTTGACTGTCTGCTGGAAACGTTTATTTGTTGATTCGATTCTGGTAGACAGAGTTTTGATCCCTTTTGTCGGGAATATTCTTATTGACTGTCAAGTATTTAACAGTTGTATTTGTTTAACCGGTTTTTACCTTGTAGTACGTATTTGCACCCGATAACGTTTTGGACTGTATAGTTACCCAACGGCACTGTTGAGGTATTTTGTAATTTTGATATAACTTGTTGTTGCCTTGATGGTACCACAGATCTTGTTACGAATCTACTATTGAATTACTACAAGCCGTGTTTTGATATTTTGATCCAACCTTTGACTGTGCGTCACTCGCGGAAGTTAGGAAGCTATACAGCAGAACGCAGGAAATAATCAAATTCACGTCAGTTGGCACCGCCTAGTTATTTCCCGCGTTCAGGCCAAAATTATTGGATTCTGGCCGTCACAGGCACTTTTGAGGTACGTTTTTAATTTTGATGTAACTTGCCAATGCTCAACAAATAACAGACAAATAAATAAATATTTTATTCTCAAATTAACAGTTTAACATGTGAGAAGCCAGTTTACCATCATCAAATTGATAATGGTAAAGAAATCCCCAGTAGTTGAGCTGTCCTGAATGATACAGAGGGTATCGCATAGCGGTTTATCATGATAATAAAAGTGACTACGGGTTATGAAAAGAACAGAAAAATATCACTTCACAGTACATTTAGATTGTTTATGAGCTTCGGTTGTCCCCACTCACCATTCTTTTTGCATAATAAAGTGATACCAAAATCGTACAAAATTCGACGTTTGCATTACATGTGACCTAGATGCTTAACCTGGTGGCATAGTTCCTTGTATAGTCAGATAAACTTTTATTTTGACACCGGTTAAAATGTTTATAGCATCGTTGGCCAACGAAAACTCACTTGATCGATTTCAGGCAACAGTAAGTGTTAGCATAACCACACAATCCACGTGAGTACATAAGTCTCCGCATTTCCCACTCGTAGTATGACCTTGCTAAGCAATAAAGACGTAATGCATCAGATTTAGTTGTTGCTTTACAAAGTGATAAACATCTGAAGGGCTGTTACCCAGTGGTGACGGAGTTTTTAACATAGAATACACACTGAAGCATACAGCATTATCAAGCAGGTATGTTGACTGGTAATCGTCTTCTATAAATGAGGTGATGTATTTGAATCACTAGGTGAGTTTATTTCTTAGATTTAGATGTTTATCCAGATTTTCGCTGCCATTATGACCATCCAGAAGCCTTGGATCATTTATTTTAGTTGGGTTTTCTTACATGGTTGCATCCAAGTTGTTGGTAAGTGGACGAGTTTGCTGTGGAACGTTTCATACAGTGAAAATTAATAGGGGAAGACCAGATGAAGGATTCTTCCAATAATTTCTGGTATCATGTATGAAGTAGTATATTCAGTATGTTGGCAATTTTGGTCAAAATTATGCTCAAGGTTTCTTTTCAAACTTCAGCTGGAAAGAGAAGGAGAGAAGGGAAGCGCGAGCAGAAACCGGAGAAAGGACATACACGCAAAATGAAATTGAGCAGAGGGAATTCCCCATCTTCGAGACGCTCGAGATATACGTACACTTTAATTTACGCACATGAAAATGACACTTATGATTTTTCTACGTAAAATACGTACAAGTTTTCGGATATACGGTGTTCGTTTGTGGGCGTACGGGTAAAACGGACTCTACATCAAGGTGATGCATATTTTACTGACTACACAACCTAAGCTAGTTGAATAGCAGTCAACGCTCCATGCAATTATGTTGGGGACCATTAAGAAAGAAATACTTGGGATCTATGATAGCCTTAATTTGCACGTTTAGGAGTCCTGGTATGTTTTGATTAGCCCAGAAAGTATATATAGTGATCAAATGAGTGGTACACTCATCATCCATGAGGAGCTTATTAAGCGATGAACGAAAGACAGATAATGAACCGGCAGTACGTATTTCCTCAGGAAGTCCATTTCAGATGTGAGAGAACTTATTGAGGAAGAAATTACCCCGCACACT